ACATAATCGTAACGAGATGAAAAATTCTTTTTTCTTCGCGTTTTCACATGACAAGAACTGAACCCCAGGTCAAAAAAGAATAACATATTATTTTTATCCAAAGAAACTTTTTTTATGAATTTTTTATTTCAAAATCTTTAAAATACTATTACTTTTATTTCGCTGCCCTCGTTCTTTATGGGCTGTTTACAGCTTTAAAAAAAATCACAAGAAATATTTTTCATTATTTCTCTTGGTTGAAAAACGTACTTTGTTTCTGCTGTAAATTTTCTTGAAGAAGTAAGCATTTTTTGCTTGAGAGCTGCAAACTGGTTTAAGAAATTTTGTTTGAAGAAATTTTTTTTCCATTTCTTGTGCGTCATTTTATATAAATTCTTTGGTTTCTTGAGCTCTAAACAGCCTTTCTTTAGGTATTTAATTTTCTCATAAAAAATGTTATTTACACAGAGTGAGGCGTCTACTCTGGAGACTCTCCAGTGGAGAGAGTAAAAATGTTCATGTAACGGAATTAATAAAAAAATGTCTTTACAGTTAAGTTGACAAAGTTTTTAACTTGTGTAATAGCAAAAACCACAATTCCAAATACCCAGTATTTCAAGCTCTCAAGAGCACTTTGTCTATCCGTCTCTGCAAGTTTTCCGGTCATTCAATATTCCACCAGAATTTTATCGGCCTAGTGTAATCTAGTGTGGAGTAGCGGTTTCACTATGCAAACAATTCGTTATTAATACTGAACCAAAAACAAATAATTAAAAAAATGCAACAACTAAAAAAATAAAATTTTGACCAGAAGTTAAAGCTGTCACCGAATCGTAATGTATCTTCTTATTTTGTTCAAAAATGGTTTGTTTTCTTCGAATAAAGGGGAAAGAAGTAATATTTCAAGAAATAATTCTCACCTTATGAGACATTGTTTACAGATATTTTTACGAATATTCGCATTTTAAAAAGGCCTTTATGAATACTTGACAGTGATTCTATTGAGTTGTGTGCCTAGTTTGCTGACATCTCATAGCCATAACTTATTATCTCGCAAGCTGCATCATTTCTCTCAATTTTTCAATGTGTGGGAAAATAGTGGTGTTGAGATTGATTTTGCATACTGAAAGTGAAAAACTGACTGAAGTGCAGCTTCTGTTAGTAGCGACCGGAGTTTTTCAATTGGTAAAAATATACTCGGATATTTTCTACTGTCTAATGGGGGGGTACGCGATGTCAGAGAAACCTTCTTCTCTTAATTTTGGATGTTTCTTGAACCAGGAATCGAACTTCAACAACTCGTACACACCCCTTATCATACGGCTAAGGCCGCCGCAATACGGAGCTACACGAGTACATTTTATTTCTGCAATAAACTTTTAATAAACTACAAAAACTATGGAAGCTGCCATGGCAATTACTTTCAGTAAAAAATAAATTAAACCAATATGTTTCAAACATTTTCAGGGCCTCTCACAGAACTCATAATTTACGCAGTTAATTGTAGGGATTGGTACACTTTCAACTTGATTTTGTATAAATTAACAAGCCGTATATATTTTCAATTTAGTCGGCGTTTTTAGTACATTTGGGTTTTTTTCTAGAAATAGTAAGCCCCAAATTTTCAAAACTCTAATCTCTGTGAGAGTTAATCACAGAAAATATCAGAGAAGTGACTAACCCCAGATCTAGATGCGGCAATCAAAAAGAATAAACAGACGGCAGCGTTGATCCGGATCAACTCGGGAATTAACTGCAGTTAATCCGAATTAAGTCCGAAATAATCCGGATCAACGCTGGCGTCTGTTTGAGCTTTTAGACGCCATTGGAAACCCATTTTGCAATTTATCAAACCAGCGAACTGAGAAAAAAAAGAAAATGGTAGACATAAAATGGGGATTGAAAAACAGAAAATTTCTGGTGCCATTTTTCTGGATCCCAAAAAACAAAACATGCCAAATATTTTCAGAGAAATTTTTGTACATATGTATACTCGCACATACACATAGTGCCCCTTCAAGTTGATGGCGATGATAAAAAAAAAAGAACAAAACGCGCGCAATGGCGTTGATATTTGAGGAAGAGAAGATAATAAGAAATGTGCACAGCAACAAACCGTAAGATGGCCAGCTGAACGGATAGCTGGAGTGACTGACCAACTAACAGCAGAAACCATAGCCATAAAGTGAGGAAACCGAGACCAGCAGCAGCCGCGACTCATTTCCGTTGCAATTGTTCTACAAATCAGCAGAAACAGCAACGACACAATGGCGGGCATCAACAACAAGCGATTGCTCTTTGAGAGACATTTCTTGTGTAGAGGTTTTTTTTTTTTTTTTTAGGTGAAAGAAGCGTGAATGCAATAATAGCAACAACAGTTGAAGCGGTAGCAACAGTCAAAGCGAAAGCAACAACTA